CTTGCGAGTACTGTTTAAGAGATCTCCACTTAGTACCGACAGCTTCTGCGTCGTGGGGGGTGTAGAAGATCAGTGCTCTGCCCAGTAGCCCTGTAGTGCGACACAGAGTTTTCCTCGGTACAAGTTTGTTTTCCTGTATAGTTTCTTAGTTTCAGGTGGTTAGTCGGTGAGTGCCTGTAGAACGTTGTCTGAGCATTGCTCGTAGTTTTGGCTGTTGCCTCACTTGTTTTCCCTAGCTTGGGAGCTTTTAAGAGGTGCCACGACTACTGTCGTTTGGCTCAAGACACGAGACCAGCAGTGAGCTGTGCGTGCTGAAAGTGTGAACTGTCCGAGTGTTTTGTGGGCTTGCTTGCTTGCAAGGGTGCTTGGAAAAGTTTGCTTGAAGCCCTGAAAGCGTCTGTAGGCTTTCTAGGTTTTTAACGGTTTCTGCTGCTACAGCTGCTGATGCTTCGAGCAAAGTTGCGACATTGTTGAATTATTGTTGAGTCGAGGTCACAATGCAGTCACAACACGGTCACAACGCGGTCACACGGTCACAACGCGGTCACAACTCGGTCACAATGCAGTCACAACACGCTCTCTCTTTTGAAGCGGCCTCTATCCCCCACCAGAGATCGTCGCACTTGGAGCTGATTCAAAACCGAAAGGGGTTAAGCGTACAGCCTCGGTCCAAAAACGAAGAATCGACGGGGCTGTGCGGCCTGAGACGCGACGATCTTCGCTCATGTGGGCCAAAATTTTTACTGGTAATCGCAACTCGAAGATTGTGGACTTTCGCTCCGCTTGCTCGTAAAATTTTTGGCCCAAATGAGCGAAGATCGTTGCGTCTCAGGCCGCACAGCCCCGTCGATGCTTCGTTTTTGGACCGAGGCTGTACGCTTAACACCTTTTGGTTTTGAATCAGCTCCAAGTACGACGATCTCTGGTGGGGTGCATTCTTTACTCTATCAACGATAAGCAATGGAGAATGCCTCATGACAAGCACGTGCCCACTGGAAGCTACGAGAGGACGGCCGTGCACCTCCAGTGATGCTCCATTGTACGCTTTGCTCAAGGCTGTGCTGGCAGTCTGGGTGTCGAGCCTTTTCTGGTTTCCATCCGCTGCTGAGAGTGGCTTAGATTTTGATTGCCGGCCTTTGAAGCGCTCGGTGGGGGTAATCTCCGACGTAGTCCGCGTGCCTGCCATGTTGCACACCCTTACTGCGTCTGACCGGAAGGTTGTGAACTGTCTGAGTGCGCCCGCTTCACCCTGTGCTCGAATTGTCTTTGATTCTTAATTTGCTTGAATTACTTCTTGGTGCGGCCGAGTGCAGCAGCCGCTGTCGACGAGGCCGACTCACGCCAAAAGAAAAACTGCTGTGGAACGTGAACTGTTGTTTCCATCCCTGCTCACTCTGTAACTTAGAAAAGTATTCCAAACTTGCTAAATGAAAAGTTTGGTTCAGTGTTTGAAC